TCCTCTACTTCTCTTACTTGCTTCTCAAAATCCCTTTTGAGCTCTTCCAAGGCCTCGGACTGATTCATATTTTTGTTGGAAGTTTTGGATGTAGGAGCTTTGACTTTGTTTTCTTCTTATGGTTGTATGTTTTGATCTTCTTTGTCACCAAAGTAAGATAATATAGTCTGAACTCCTTTTGCGCTGCTTGCTCATGATCCCAACCAATTACTTGATTTTTAAACTCTTTGTTAAGGTAAGAGTCTGTTTTCAATGTGGAGAATGTACTGTCCCAAGCTTTGGGGGTTTGTACAGCTGTTTTCAGAGATACTTCTAGGGACCTGAAAAGTGTCAGTTCTTCCAAGGTGCTAGGATTAGGGGCGAGGTGTTTCCTCTCCATAGCCACAACAAGCTCCTCCTTGCCCCAGGACCACCCCTCAGAACTGTGACCCAGATCCAAGCACGGGATTCCTGCCTCAGCCCTGGCAAAGAGATCCTTGCAATCCCCCTCTAATCAGCCACTCAATTCCCCCTCAGGCCGTGGGCCAGAAGCTAAGAAGCCAGCTGCTGCCCTCAGGGCAGCTGAGATCTAGCTTCTTCTCTCACTGCAGTAACAGACTTTTCCCACTGACCTTCTAAGTTGTCTTTGGCATTCCTGGGTTGGGAAGTCTGGAAACCACCACAGCTGCCCACGATGTAGTCCTCTGAGGCCTGCTCCAGGTTCGCTGCGGCCTGCTCACCCACGCCAAACTGTACTCCTCTCCCAGCCTGGCACAATATACCTTTCCGATCAGCCATCCAGGTTGTCTTGGACTGAAAATTTGTTTTACTTTGTTTTTTTGTGGGTTCTGCTGCTTTAGAATTTGTTTAGAGCCATTTTTTGTAGGTATTTGAAGGGGTTTGGGGGAGAGCTCTAGCAAGTCAGTGCTTTCCCTTTGCCATCTTGGCTCCGCCACCCCTATTTTTTCTCATATTATCTCATGGACTTCCTTAAATCTATCCACAGTTTCCAGAAAAAAAAAACTTATAATAATTATACAATACATTGGTCATGCCCAAGAATATATATGTCTCATTTTGCATTTTAAATTCATCACTTCTCTGACACAAGATAAGTAACATACTTCAACATCAGTCTTTTGTAGTCATAACTTGTCGTTGCATTGATCAGAGCTCTGAAGTCTTTCAAGTTATTTTTGTTGGTAATGCTGACGTCATTGTACAATTGGCTCTCTTACTTCTTTTTACTTCATTCTTCATCTGTTCCTAGAGGTTTTTCCAGTTTCCTCTGAAACTGTCCACCTCATCATTTCTTGGGGAAGGTAGGCCTGGAGGTAGGAAGACCTGAGTTTAAATATAGCTTCACACACTTACCAGCTGTGTGACGCTGCTCAAGGTCCTTAATCTTTATTTGCCTCAGTTTCTTCACCTGGAAAATAGGAATAATAATAGCACCTACCTCCCCGGGTTATTATGGGCATTAAATGAGATAATAATTATAAAGTAGTTAACACAATGCCTGGCACCTAGAAAACACTATACAAATGTTAGTTATTACTATTATCTTTATCATCTTCATCATTCTAGTTACTAGTTTATTTTTCTAATCAATTATAGATATAGGAAAATATAACTATAGGCTTCTGGAAATTTCTTAGTTTGAAAATATGTAGCAATTCTCCTTCTTAGGAAATATAACTATAAAGAAGGGCCTTCAATCCTGTGAACTTTTATAAACCATTTTTGTATAATCTTTTCACACTTTCACACTCTACCATATATTATACTGTCATTGGCAGAAGGGGAAAAAAAATCTACAGTTCAAGATACAATTTAGGGTAAATGTCAGTAAGAAACTTTATTATTATTATAAGCCATGGCAGAAAGAGGCACTGGTTGACTAACCATTTTTTCTCACATTTTCTTCTGTCAGCAAGTGGGCTCTGGACACAACCAATTTCTTATTCGTATAATAGAATACAATGAAGAAAAAAAATCAAAGGAAGTTAAACTGAATCATAAACTGCTTGTACTTGGCCTTGGAATTTGGAAAGGACAGTTTGTTTCTTTCAGGAAAAGAAAACAGAGGCATGCAGCAATAGTATGTCACTGTCCTGCAAACTACAGGCCAATTATAGTTTTCTCTTCAATCAGACTTGCAGAAGACCCAGAGCAAAGGCAGAACTCAAATACAGTCAAGTGGATGGGACTAGTTCATTTACACTAACATGAAGGCTAATTTGAATATGGTGTCACTCATATCAAGAGAGGGAAGATACAAAAACTTTTTTCTCTCTTTACTTGCACACAAAAATTAATGGTGGATAGGCCATAGACTCATAGAATTTTAGAGAAGAAAAAAGACCTCAATGACTATCATGTGCAAGCCTTAGACGAAAGGAATCCCCACTACATAAGATGCCCGACACATGGTTGTCCAGCCTCCAAGTAGGAAGAATCTGCACCTTTCAAGACAGACCTTTTCTCTTCAGGACTTGTTTAATAGTTAGAAAGTGTTTTTCCTGACAGGAAGCCTAAATTGTTTTTGTTTTTCCCTTTTGTTTTTGAATATTTGATAAAACAAACTCCCAGGAACATCTGTAATCCATCAATCAATTTAGCTGCAATTTCTTTTGTTCTTCTGATTTTATTTAGAGCAAGAATATCAAGATTGATGTCTACTTGTGAGTCATTCTATAAGGAACTCTGATTTAGAGAACCAACAGTCAGATTAAAGTTTTTAGATTACACAATTTCCATTTTCTGCCTCTTTTGCAGTAATCTGTCATCAATTCAGAAGCAGAGGAGACTAAGTTCTATTTAACATTTATTTTTATTTCATTGGTTGGTATGGCCAAAAATTCATCCTCAAACAGCCATCCTTGTAGTAATGGGCCTTTTTGTACTTATTTGGGCTGATAGTTGAAAAGTAGGATCATTTTGTTGCAAGGGACATACTCAAAACTTTTCCAACACTGCTGAACCTGACAGAGCTTTTGGTCTGCTGGCGTGGCCCTTGAAATTTCAGGGTCATCTATATTATACTGCATCATCATGGCAGGTCTTCAACTATTACAAATCTACTGTCATAAGAAGATCAAAGAGCCCAGAATGTGCTTTAGCAGAAATTTGACTAATTTAGCAAGCAAAGAGAAAAAAATAGCCAAAAGAAACTTTGAGTTAGTGTATAAATTCACTTGTAAAATCTTATGAAAAACGATAATGCATACTTTTAAGTAGTATCATCTTATAAAGGAGAGAGAAGCAGTCAATGATCAACCAGTTTAAAGAAAGGTTGGCAAGAGATACAACGAAGCAAAATCAAACTAAGGTAATTTAAGAATGAAAATGGAAAGACAAGTTGTTCTTTGTCCTTTCTTTTTGAAAAGGACCAAAGACATCACAGCTCATGTCTTGATTCATGGGTGAAGTGGATTTTAGTGAGGCAGAGTGGTACAAGGTCATCAGCCTCACTCTCTCTTCCAGAGTTATCAGGTAAAAGTCAAGATGATGGGCAATGAGCCCAGATACATCTTGGACCCTTTGATGTTGAACTAATCTAAGTGATGGGGATGGGATCTGTACCCTTAAAAGGAAAAGACTATGTCTTTGGGATCTGGACTCCAAAAGGAAAAGCCCTGGACTTTCCCACATGGTCAAATCTCTGGCATTTGCCTGATGTGTTTTTTCTTTCACTTTGGTTTATCTCTTTGATTTTTCAGGATTCTACTTTGTGCTAAATTAAAGACTTCCAATTTTTTTTCAAGGTTTTTTAGTTGCATAAACAATTTTCCAACCTATTCTTACTTTCTTTTGTTGATGAAATAACTTAGAAATATATATATATATATATATATTTTCCCTTAAGCAGTGCTTTAGTTGCATTCCATAAATTTTGACATGCTGGAATTTTCTTTGATAAGATGTTCTATTCTTTCTATAATTTGCTCTTTAATGTACCAATTTTTTATGAGTAACATATTCAGGTTTTGATTAATTTCTAAATTTTTTTCAAAGGTTCTTTATTGAATGTAATTATTATTTTGTTGTGGTCAGTATAGTTTGGGTTTTGTTTCTCTGCTTTCCTGAATTTATTTGTAAAGTTTTCATGACCAAATGTATAGTCAATTTTTTAAAAGTTGCCATGCACAAGTGAGAAATAGGATAACTCTTTTCTGTTCTCATTCAGTAAGGGCTAAAGATCATCATCCCTAATTTTTCTAAAGTTCTATTCAGGTCATGAACTTCTCTGATTTTCTTTATGTTAGACCGAAGTCCAAAAGGCATACACTGAAGTGCCCAGATCATTATAGCTTTGCTGTCTATTTCTTTCTGCCATGTGCTTAGCTTTTCCTTTCCTTCCTCAAATATTATCACTGTATATTTCTATGTGTGTGTATGTGTTTGTGTGTTATAAACTGATTCACTATGATGCATTTAAGCATAATGTAGTTTCCTTATTTTTTGTGAGAGGTTTACAAAATTTCTTGATAAATGTTAAGTAGAAATATCTTTTTAATGACCCTCTGAAAATCAACATGAGTTGAAACATTAAACACAGTAATCTATGCTTATCAAAGTTGTTCATTATTGTGATAGAGGAGATCCAGCATATAGGACATTTTAAAGGTTTTCCTGTGAAAATCATGAGGATTTCCTTTCATATTCTGCTATTTGTGGAAGATATTGTACATGAAGACTTTGAAAAATGCAAATGCTCCTGGGAGAGATATACAACCAGCAAAAGAATGTGATCTCACCATTCACAAAGGAAAGATCAAGTAGTTGAAAAATATCTCTTATCAAGATCATGACACGCGTTTGGATAAAAATCTATAGAACTTGTTCATAGATTTGGAAAGGGCAGTATAAATGAAAACAATGAGTTTCACCTGAATTTGAACATGAGAATAGTATGCTGTAATGTCTTTGGGAAGTTATAAAGCTTCTTTAATAACCCAAAGGTCTCATGGAAAAAAAAGGTTCATATATTTATATATCTTCTCACTCCCTTACCACAGGTCTTCAAGCATTCAAGCAGAAATTGGAGGATCACTTTCTAGAGATACTCTACAAGGAATTATTGTTCAGGTACATACATGGTATCTGAGTTCCTTACAACATTCTATGGGCATTCTGAACAATTAAAAATGAATATCATACAAGAGCAATGAAGAGGTAACTGACAAATGTGAATACCCTGTGACATAAAGCCAATAAAAAACTTCAAAGAAAGAGTTGAGTAAAAGATGCCATCAAGGACTCTAACACAAACCTTCACCTTTGACACTAACCTTAAATGTCTCCTACCCCAACTCTAAGTCAACCCTAAATACCTCTGACTCTAACCCTAACCCTAGGAAGAAAAAATGGGAAAGAGAAATAGATGACAAGAGGATAGTCAGAGTGACGTAGTAGTAACCTCATGATGTCAGAAGAAATCAAGGAAGGACTTTACTACATTGGATGGACTATTTTTAGTATACTAATGGGAGGATATGGACAAGAGCTGCATAGGAAAAGCAGGCATGCATGAGTTGTGATGGCATCATTGAAGGGAACTCTCAAATTAATGATATCTCAGATCTATTTGAGTATAAAAAATATAATATCAGGTACCTATAAAAACTATTTTCAGTTTTTCTGGTAAATATTTTGATTTTGACACAAAAATATATCTCTTTAACATTAATTTTCTAATAGTGATGCCACACTTTTGCAAAACATCACATACCATGATCTCAAAAGAATCAAATAGAAGTCTCAAAAGACTAAATAGAAAGACTCCCAGTGAGTGTAAGTAGGCTGTATAATAACAAGGTATTAGTTAAAAGGACTTTTAATGGATAGCCTGGAAAGGAAAATATTTAGGAGGGACACCGTGGGGATAAAAATTATTCAACCTACAATAAGAGAGACTGAGGCAGAGCTCTGAGCCAATGGCACTTTATTAAAGGGTCCATGGTCCCCTCTAATGAAGTAGACCTCAGATGAGATGTCTCCTCCTTTCCAGGGCCCTGTTTTTATAGTGTTAGATATCTAGACATTCAAGAACAGCTATACCAAATACAGAATAATTCCACTGGTTGACATACGATGCATAGGCTAAGATAGCAAAAATTATCTGTCAGGAGGGTCACAAGTTGGGTGAAGCAAGGAATATGACTACTGAGTAGACAGTCACAAGATGGATGGGTTTCTCCCTAGGTTCTCCGAGCTATCCATACACTCTAAGAAGATATCGGGAAGAATTTCCATACCATGCCACCACTCATGCTTGGTTTTGGTCATTGAATTTTAGCAAAACAGTATGGAGGTGTCTTTGTTAGCATTCTTATGGTTGTGCAAGTGAGCGCCACAGCTGGTAAATAAGTAAGGAATATTACATTTAAGTTTGAGGACTATTTCAGGGCCCTTCTGTTAGAGACTATATTCTTTATTCTTGCCCAAATATGCAAAAGAGGCATGGCAAAATACAGAACCTCATTGGTTGATAAACCTTGCTCTTGAGAGCCAAAAATGACATAGTAGCTGTGAGGCATCTCCACTGACTAAGTGGTTATAAGATGGTCACTTGCTTATGTTGAATAAAATAAAATGGTCTGGAGATACAAAAATAAATTTGGGGGACTTTCCATGAAGTTGAGTCACCTCCACCACATTGGGCTTGGTCCCCATGACAAGGAAAAACAAGGGTGGAGGGCTTCTAGTTAACTTCCCATGATTAAGCAAGTGAACTTACCATCTGCAGCTCACAGCTCTGGAGCCAAATATACAGAACTTATACTCACTATCCCCACAGAATCTTATAAAATTGATTGCTACTGACTGGAATAGAGTAGGGATCCTCAATGAATCAACTTTCTCAAGACAAAGGCTATCTTCCAGTATCTCAAAATATTTCATGTAGAAGAGGGACTGAAATTTTCCTGTTTGACCTCGCTGGGCAGAACTAAAAAAACAAAACAAAACAAAACAATGTATGGATATTGCAGAGAAGTCAATTTTGGCTTTATACAAAGAAAAGAAAATACTATTAATTTAAGCTGTTCAAGGGTGAAATGCCTTCCTGAAATCCTCCTCTCAGTGAAGCCCTTCAATGAGAAGTTGGATATACACTTGTTTAAGGCAGTCCTGTTCAGAGACAAGTTGGAATAGATGGTTTCAGAATTTCCTTTTGACTCTGAGTGTCTGCAATTCTATAACAGTTCAACAAATTATTTTGAACAAATTGACTTGAGCATTTAAAACTGTGTAAACTTGGTTGCATAGGAAAGTTCAGGCATAATTTGTCTAGCCCATCTTTGTTAGTTTTCATTAGTCGGGCCCTCAGGGCATCATGCAAAGCAGCACCACTTGGGAACCAGTTTGGAAAGTAAAATTGACATTTTAGGAACTAGTTGATTTGACTAATCTCATTCAAGTGCTAGAGAGTAAATGTGAAAAAACATTGGATTCCTTTTCTAATGTTGAAGCAATAATAAGTAGTGTCTTAAGGCAAAACACCCAACTGTAATGTCAAAAATCAGGGTGAAAGTCAGGTTTCAATGACCCAATTTGCAAACAGATACCTACCTACCTACATACATATATACATACATACATACAGCATTTATTAAATACATAGTATGTGTCAGGCACTGTGCTAATGCCTGGAAATACAAACATAAGCAAGTTAAGATAGTCCCTGCATTCAAAGAGCTGACATTCTAATAGGGGAACACAATATATAAGGGAAGGGGGGGAATAAAAGTCAGATGTATGTACAAGGCAGCCAGGTATGGAGCTAAACAGGAAGTGGCATGGAGTCCTAGTTCTAGGAAAGATAGGCAAAAGTTCAAAAGAATTAATGTAGCTGTATTCCATGTAATTTAAGATAGAAACGAGCTCCAACATGTTTGTCATTATGGAAGCTAGATAAGACCCTATTTCTAGATACAATGGGTAGATGGGCTAATGAGGTCCTCATTCTCAGAGTATGCACAATATAGACAGCTACTTGCTGTCAATACATGTAGAGGCCAGATGAGTCTGCTTTGAGCATGTTTACTGGAAGAATCCTGCCTCCCAATTCAGAGCATGTATAGGAAACCTAGGACTATTTCATGTCAGCTTACTGTGTGGTGACAAGGAGTCTTTTTATTGGTTGCTGAGCCAGAACTATAAGTAAACAAAATAAGAATATATAAAATCTCTCTCTCTTCCCTGGTGGCCTTTGAGTAAGGAGGAAGAAGAAATGCTATAGGATTCCAGGTAGATGGAGAAGTAAAAGTAGTGGTGGTATAAGACATCATGTAGCCATGAATGCATGATGTTATTTATGTCTTTGTTATATGTATTCTCTCTTGATATTAGACAAATGAGTGTCAGAGATGGAATAGACCAGATTATGACTTTGTGTGTTTCTAAAGAACAGAAGCACCATTAGAGATTCAACAACTGGAGTCTGGAGTAGAGACTTGTGGTAGCTACAAAAGTTTAGCTAAGCGAAAAGCCTGTTAGAAATCTCCTTTTCACACAGTGAGTTGATTAAAAAAAAAATCATAGGAGACGTGTACATATTCTGAGTTGGGGCAGCAGGGCCTCTACTTTGCATGCCCAGAAGTAATCTCACCTACCCTCCAGATTGGCAGAAGGTGGAGACTAATATACATGCTTTAAGGACTAGACTCTTATTTAGTCAGTCCCCCTATACAAACAGTTAGGATAAAATACTAGCTTAGCGATAGCAACCTACCAACACCAGGGGAGGAAGGTGCACCATCATCAAGACACAGAGCAGATGATTTTTTGGAAATAGTACAATGGACTTCAATTGAACTGTGTGGAAGCAACTCACGTAGGGACCAAGGATGCTATTATATTATATGTGTGTTATTATATATAAATATATAAACTAAAGTATTCATGTATAATATATAGACCAATTATATATAATTGTAATATATACATCAAATTTATATGTATATTCAAAATTATATTTATATTTCCACTAGAAATGTAAATTTTCCATTTATATTTTAAATAACATGAGAATTTGCACTTCAGCAAGCTGCAAGTGGTGTGCTTGATTATCAATCATTTTGCTTCACACTTGGAAGAATGTCAAATTTTAACATTAATATAATGTTCACAAGTGTCAAAGATTGTGAATACTTCTCAGCTCTTCTAACAGGTAATAGGAGTTATAGAACTAGAATTGTCTGGCAGGTATGAAGATAGTAGGGGTGAGATATATCATCATAGATTCCTTGAAAAGACCTCCAAAGGAAATATCCATCTGTTATTCTGATTCTTGAGTAATCAGGAAGCTGGGCCTAATTCTTTAGTACAAGGACAAAGAGCTTGCACCTGGTTGCATGATGGTGAGGAATTTCAAAAACTATTAGAAAGAGATTGGTCCAGTTGTTTGTGTCTCACATGACATAGAACTTGAAATATGGACTGGCCTGACTTCCCCTGATGGGTGAGTCAAGGAATAGTTATGTCAGCCCTTTGAGTTTAACTTAAAAACCAGTTATTAATATTGCCTCAATTCCTTTTTTTCTGCCAACACTTCAAAATAAATTATGATCACAGCTGTTACTATTATAAACCACATTTAAGAGTGTAATGGTATATTACAAATGTGCCATCTTTCCAGACTCTGTGTGTGTATGTGTGTGTGTGTGTGTGCGTGTGTGTGTGTGTGTTTAGGATGCAGTGTAAAAAGATTACTGATAAATAAGCACCCTATATTTGACTTTGATTTAACAATATGGAAATCAACTCTCTCAAGTACTTGGGAATGCTATTCAGTGATTTTCCTAGGCCAAAACCAAATGTTCTTCATACCCTTTTCTCATGATCATGATGGTCTTTAGAAACTTTCATGTACTTTTCTTTTCAAAATCTTCAAAATCTATATGTGTCCTTTGTTGTGTTGTTCAGTTATTTCATTTGTTTCTGAATCTTCATGCCCCTATTGTGGGGTTTCTTTGCACAGATAATGCAGTGGTTTATCATTTCCTTTTCCAACTCATTTTACAGATAAGGAACTAAGGCAAGTGACTTGCCCAAGATCACACAGCTAGTCAAGTGTCTTAAGTCAGATTTGAACTCAGGAAGATGAGTCTTCCTAATTCTAAGCCCAGTGCTCTACCCACTGTACCACATAGCTGCGCCCAATCACTCCTTCAGAATAGCTATGTTTTTATTATTTTTACGTAGATGTGGAGCATTAACTGAAGTAATGACTACTAATTAAGTTTAGTTTTCCTTTCCAACACCCGAGTTTTTCAAATAAATTTTCTGCATTTAGCCATTGTTTGAAGAAAGAATCTGAGGTTCTATATTTCCTTACGAACCTTCACAGAAATAGCAAAGACCTTATGATTGTTTTATAGACTGGAACCTCAGTTGCACATGCTAGAGAAGAGTTTAGTACAAAGCAAATCAGTCTTGACCCTCAAACAAGGAAGTTTTGTTGCTATAAAAACAAAACGTAACCAAAGTTTCATAGATACTAAACCCTTTTGAAAGTACTCACTTCCATATCCATTATCATT